CCCTTCGTCTTCTTGTTCCTCCCCTTCTCCCCCTCACTCGTGGCAGACAGCCCGTGCGGCCGCAGCCGTGCGGCGTGCCCAGCTGCCTGCCTGGCTGCAGCGTGCTGCCTGCAGCTCAGGCGGCGGGAAGAGCCCATCACACGCTATTGTGCGGCTGTTGTCTGACAAGAGTGACAGCTAAAATGGAGCTATTACTTTACAAGAAGTTAATAAAAAGGCGCACTTAGCCTGCTGCCTGCCCTGGCTCTCATCCCTCCGGTTATCCATCACATCGGGTTAGCTTGTGAGGGGAGATGTTACTTAGGGAAAGGGCCCGAGGTGGGGGCAGGTGGCGATGTCGGGGGAAGGCACGACTGTAACCCCCCGGGAGAAGGGCTTTCCGCCGGGCGGGGCGGGGAGGGAGAGCCCCCGGCCGGCAGATCCCGCGGCGGGGGCACCCCGTGGGGGCCGGGACTCCGCGTCCTCCCGGACACCTCGGCGCTTACGGGGGAGGTGTGTAAGGGCGAGAGCCGCTGCTGTTCCGGACAGCCGGGAGCATGGCCGCGAAATGTTGCCGTACCGATAGGCTACGTGTAAAATTACAGCAACACATGTAAGCCCATTAGAGATTTTTTCAAATCTCCCATAGGCAACGCGGGTTGAAGTATCTTAGGGTATTTCATATAGAATGTCTTTTCCCTAGAACTGCCGATTAAGCAACGCTGAGAGCTCTTGCTCAGCATCCCGAATTATCGAAACAAGGAAATGTTTAGATCCGTACGCGGAGCGTGTTGTAAAGCTGCGCGGAGCCCTCCCGGCCCGTCCACCGCGGGGGCTGCAGGGCCGGGGGGGGCGGCCGCGGGATTCCCGTGCCCGAGAGCAGACTCCAGCCCCGCTCGCAGGATGCAGGATGCAGGAGGTCACGTTCTCCCCTTAACTCGCGTCTTCTCTTGTCCCCATCGCGGTCGTGCACAACGATGCGAGTCTGAACCTCCAGGTACCCCACACAGAACTCCGCTCTCTGAGCTCAGGCACTTTATGGAACCAATTTGGAACCCACTCGATAGACCCACTAGATTTTGCAAACTGTAAATTAGATGTATAATTGCAACTTGCGATTCTGTCTGCTTAAGGAGCAGGGCCGCTCACTACAGTCTCGAGCATGATTGTGAGAGGTGAAGCTCTGATTTCCTTGTGTTTTGGTGCTATGTGTTTGAATGTTACATTTTTTTCTACGATGTTCAAAGGTCAGCGGATCCCATCAGAAAAGGTCATTCTCTTGCTTCAGATTACCAGTGAAATATTTCAGGCTCTTCAGGTCAATATGATTGTCAGTTATGGCGCACTGAGCAAGGAGGGCAGCGCAGGGGGCCGAGCCAGCATGGAGCCCCGAAGGGCCGTGGTGTGGGCAGTGCGGGAGGTGGCACTCCTCCCGCGGGGCGCTGGGGACACCCGGCGAGACCTTATAGTAAAGGTCCTGAGCTTTTCCGGGTATTAGAGATCAATTTCAGTGTTCTAAGCAGCTTGATGAAGTATTAAGCTTGATGCTCTGGCAAAATCCCAAGTTACATAATTATATTATTCCGCTTACTCGAATTGTCCGTTCAATTTTAAATAGAGATGATAACAGTCCTTCTCAAAAGGTAGTTTTCTCATGAATTGTTAAAACGTTGATGCGTTAAAACGTTCCAGCAGTGGATAAAGCAATTTCTCTCTGTTCACCTCTTAACCATATTTTTATAGTGGTGTGATACAATGTTAAATTCTATGGTGAAAACGCCTATATAAAGAGCAGTCCTCATTAGGTGGATCTAATTTGCATTTTTTTCTTTACTAACAAAAACGTTTATTGTAGTAACTCAAGAGAATATCTAACAGACTAATGATTTCTACTGTATCCGTGCATCATCACAAGTTTTTATCCTCTCTGCAAGTACATAAGCACAAAATGAAAATCTGACTATGCTGTTGTGCAGATTGTTGAGAGATAGGGGGTTGCTTTTTTTTTTTGAATCCACAGTGTAGCTGATGGAAAAATTTGGCTCAGATATTTTTATTACTTATGATGATATAAGAAATGAGAGAGCTAGCCTGATTCTCAGATCTCAAGCTGAATTTGCATTCAAGAAAACTATTTGTGGTCAATTGTCTTACACCAAAGAAATAGGAGAAAAACCGAGTAATATCTTGTGCTCAATACAAGTTGGTAGTAATTGCAAAGACCCAATCTGCTACAGTCAATTTAACTGAAAAGTTGAACTTTTAGCTTGTCCATTAGAAGTGTGAGCTATTACACACTTGGAGAAGTGTAGTAGTCTTTCCATCCTGTTTTTGTTTTGTTTTGTTTTTTTTTTTCCCCAGGGCTGTGCCAAGCTGTCAGTGTGGAAGACACAGGTAGTAGCATCAGCTCGTAGATTTGGGGCATATTCTGCCATCATTTACTGCTGCTTTCAGAGAAATTTCTCACATGGACATCCCTGTTTGTTTGTCTTGCTAGAGTTCTTGTTATAGGTGGTGCTTTAAAATATTTTATAGTAAACTAGTGGCAGGTCTGAAGGAACTTTCACTTCCCATTTTCTGAGCCTGCAGAGTGCTGCTTTCCAAGGAAGAAAATGGTGTGCCACTGGGTCAAGCTGGCAGTAAGCTTGAGTTAATTCAACTTGAGTTTGGGAGTTAAGAAAGGTTGAAGACAGCTTTTGGCCAGCCAGCTGTGTATCACTCTGCTGCTCTATTGAGACATCAGTTTTATTTTGAATGGAAGCAGTTCACGGAAGGCAATGGGACTGCTCGTTTTGATGTAGGTAAATACCTGCCTGAACAGTTAGAGTGAGTTATGACAGGTGCTCTGCTGCAATGAAAGGCTTGCATTTCCTTTATTAGAAATGGTTTTGCCTCCTCCCAACAGTTCTTCCTTAAAGCTTCTTTTGGTTTGCTGTTCTGCTAGAAGTTTTAATTTTAACATTACCTAAAGTATTTGCTACTCTTGAGTAGCAGATTGTACATTACAAATACCCTTAGACCAGCAGTTTTTTACTACGTTTGAGGCTATTCAGATATTCTTTTTAAAAGAGGTTGCAAAAATACAAATGTCAACAGTGAATAATTATGAAAGGAAGTTAGGAGTTACTTTTTAACTGTTCTGGTACCTGGGTTTGTCAATAGGATTTAGGTGCATTTCCTAAATCTTATTACATACATTTTCTAATTAGAAAACGATGGAAGGTGCAAGTGCCTCTTAGTGTAGTAACATAATATATAATCATACATAAATATGTATAATTGGCTTTGTTATTTACTGCAGAGTTAAGAACACTGCAAACTTTCGAATAGGCATGAAGGATACTGATAGTCTTCCAAAAGCTTACTGTGCACTTCTCTATCTGCTAGGCAGTCTAATTAGATCTGAGTTATTAGATTAGATCTACAAACTTTTCTAGCTTAAGTTGGGAAATTCAGGAATTTCAAAATAAGGTTAGCATATATTTTATAACTTTTATGGATTGTATCATAGATGGGATCACATTTTTCATTGAAGACAGAAATGAATTATAAAAATAGTGCTGTGTGGCTGATTATTTTCAAAGTGACAGCTGAGGCTGATATTACTAGTGCCTCAATAAAAAGATCCTGTCACCAAAATGGAAAAAAAAAATAGAAAGGATAATAGGGATACTGAAACAGCATAGCAATATTTCAGATTTAACATCTCTATTGCTCTTGATTTCTTGACATACATCTCAATCTTTGATAAAAAAATTTGCTTATCCCTTTAGAATTAGTACTATTTATTTGCAAAGTTTCAGATTTTTAAAGCCTAATTTTATTTTCTGGATTTTTAAAAATAATTCTTTTGGTTATCAAAACTTTCAGAACTGGCATGGTTAATGCTTTTACATTGTTTTAACAAAACTAAACTGTGATGATTATAATAGGCTGGATGTAGCCTTGGGCAACCTGGTCTAGTGGGAAGTGTCCCTGACTGTGGCAGGGGAGTTGGAACTCGATGATCTTCAAGGTCCCTTCCAACCTAAACCATTCTATGATTCTATGACTTCTCCTGCACTATTTAGGTGTCATTTATTTGAAAGGAGCTATAAAAGTCCTGAATTGACTTGGTGCATTTATAGTGATTACTCTTCAATTAAGTGTAGCAAATGTTTTTAATACAGCTCTGTTAAGAAAGATGTCCTCATCATAGGAGGAATATCATATTATATAGAATATGTCTCTTAATCTGCAGCAGAAAAGTTGCTTCTTTTGTTGGGGATTATAATGCATTAATGATAAATCTGGTAGGAAGATTCAATCTTAAAGCTTCTCATGGAAAATGAGAACAAAGAAAGATGGTATTTAAACAGCCATCTGTCAGTTGGCATGTCAATGGTATTTTTATATAGGTGAGATTTCACACTGAAGAAGCCTTCCAATAGCATTTCTCACCAGGGCTGTGTTATGGTGGATGCACTTTGAAAATTTATGTAGTTAGAACTATTTCTCACTTCTCAGTTACTGTGACAATCACCTGGAACTACACTTTCTAATTGATGTTGCTTTCTTAAACTTACTGGTAGAATGGTAGTAATCTTAGCCAAACATATTTTTGATGCTTACAGAATAGAAAACGAAAGTACGACATGAAACCTTTGACAAGAGCTTTAACAGTATTTAATGCCTTAATTCAAAATAGTATGCATATACTGTTGTGAGCCAAGCTATGAATAGTTAGAACCTGTGGGAAACTTTATTATAAGCAAGCTATTAAAATGCCAATAATGTATTGTATATAAAGTGATGCAACGATGCACTATTGAGCATGCAAAATACCTTAAAGCAAAAGATTCTGTGTTCATTGTTTTTGTAACTTGACAACAGCTTAAATGTCAGCATGAGGTTATTTCTTTCCTAATCGTTTTTCCAAAAGACATAAGGAGGCTAATCTATATTTATTATATTGTGATAGAGGGCTACAGACAACTTTGCTGCCACGGTGGTGTTACGTGTTTAGCCTTATTCTCCAGCCAACTGAAAAAGACAGGAAAATATACTGAATTGTGTTTCCTCTTAATTATGAAATCCGTTATTACTTTTGCTGCTAGGAACAGATTCTATCAAAGGGGTTTAAGAAGTCCAACAGCATTAAGTATTTATCTAAAAAGTC